AATTCCAAAAATACGAAACTGGCTGTTACATTTCACAGCGAGTCTTACCTTATCCAGTAGCGTGACTGTGCCGGTTTCCCCGATTTCTGCAAGAATTGGGGGTTCCGGAGCTGCAGTTCACGGTGAATGCCGTTGCTTTGCGGTTCTCCCACGAACACGGCGGAGCACAGCTCGCGATATTTAGCAGGAACTTTCAGAAGCTCATCCAGACTTTGTTGCCTTTTCATTCTGGATACTTTCTTTCCATGTTTTATTATCAACTCTCCAACTTACAGTCATCAAACAGGGCGCGCTTGCAACTTACACGAAAGTTACAAGGCACGAACAATGAAAACCAAAGGAAATCTTCACTATTTAAAAACCAGAACCAACCACAAAATGTGAAAATAGTGGTAAACTGGTACCTCCCCTGCTGCACAGAGCATCTCGTAGGCACCCGCCATGCTGTCCACAGGGACGTAGGCCACACTGGCAGAAAGTGCCGCAGATGTTTCTCAGCTGTCACCCACGTAGCTAAGACTGTTGCAACATTAACTTGAAATATTGAGTTTACATTTTAATTTGTATTCATTAATCTTACTATTCTTTGGAGATACTCTAAGGATATTTGCCAGACTGTGCCAAATATTTCTGGATTTTAGCAACAGGACAATTGTTCTGGTACATTATGGCTGGATATTAATTGTAGATTAGCAATAGGAGGTCACGGTTGCCTTTGACACGCAAGGACAGATGATATTTTTGAGACGTGTTGAGGGCCAATGGAACAGAGAAAACAGGCAGTTGGAAGGAAGAAGGGATTCTTTCGAAGATGGAATAAATTTTAAAATTCTTGCATCATGCTTGGATTCTCCCCAAAGCAGGTTCTGAGTCAAGGATTTGAGTGTAAATAGTTTATTTAGGAGGCTGGGCTTGGTGGCTCATGCCTGGAATCCCAGCACATTGGGAGGCCAACGCAAGAGGATCGCTTGAGGTCAGGAGTTTGAGACCAGCCTGGGCAACACAGCAAGATCCCATCTCTAAAAAAAAAATAGAAAAATTAGCCGGGCATGGTGGCATGCACCTGTAGTCCCAGCTACTCGGGAGGCTAAGACAGGAGGATCGCTTGAGCCCAGGAGGTCAAGGCTCCAGTGAGCTCTGATGATGCCACGGCACTCTAGCCCAGGGCAACAGAGCATGACCCTATTTCAAAAAAAAAAAAAAATAGTCTATTTAGAAGATAATCCTGAGACCTAACGAGCATTGGGAGAAGAGGGAAATGGGAAGGGAGGTTGCAGATGAGTAGGCTCCCACTCTGGGCAATTGCAGGGTGATTTCTCTAGGGAGCCCAGAAAGACTGTAGAACACCCCCCAGAACTGCCCCACGCGGCAATGAGGAAGCCAGGCATTCACCCAACCATTCCTGTCTCTCGACAGCCGAAGGTCACTCCTAAGGGCGTCAATTCCCAGGACTTCCATGTTACCTCCGCATGCAAGCTGAGCTGCCCCTGTGGCCAGATGAAGTTTCTGGGCTTAGAGATACAGGTGGTCGAGGTAAGAAACGACGGGCGTGCTTGGATGCTGTCTGCCATGCTGCAGGCAACATCCTGCAGGCGGGCTGCGGGGAAATGAACAGTGTCTGCTCCAGTCTGTGCCCTGATGAGGATGAACAAATGGGGAGGGCGGAAACCTGTTGCAGGAAAAGCGTGGAGAATTGCTGACTGTCTGGAACCGACAAGAGGAGATGAGATCGGGGTGCAGTGGGTGAGTGCACATCTCCTCCGTCTCCTTTCTGATTGACGCAGGATGGCGAACCTCACTCGGGTCTCCGAGTTCCTGCTCCTGGGCCTCTCGGAGGACCCTGAGCAACAGCAGCTGCTGTTCATCCTCTTCCTAAGCATGTACCTGGTCACGGGGCTGGGGAACCTGCTCATCATCCTGGCCATCGCCAGCGACGCCCGGCTTCACACCCCCATGTACTTCTTCCTGGCCAACCTGGCCTTCGTGGACATCTGCTTCACCTCCACCACCATTCCCAAGATGCTCGCCAACCACGTGTCAGGATGCAAAGGGATCCCTTACGCCGGCTGCCTGACCCAAATGTTCTTCTTCATCTGGTTCGCGGGCATCGACAGCTTCCTGCTGACCGCGATGGCCTATGACCGCTATGCGGCCGTCTGTCACCCTCTGCACTACGCCAGCTCCGTGACGCCGCAGCTCTGTGTCCTCCTGGTGGTGGCCTCCTGGACCTCCGCCCTCGGGAACGCCCTGACCCACACGGTGTTACTCACCCGCCTGTCGTTCTGCGCCCACAACCGGGTCCCCCACTTCTTCTGCGACCTGAGCCCTCTTCTGAAACTGGCCTGCTCAGACACCTTTGTCAACAGCCTGATGGTGTACACCGTGGGCGCCCTGCCCATCATCACGCCCTTTGTGGGCATATTAGTCTCCTACACCCGCATCTTTGGGGCGGTGCTGAGGATTCCGTCTGCAGGAGGCAAACGGAAGGCCTTCTCCACCTGTGGCTCTCACCTCTCTGTGGTGTCCCTGTTCTATGGGACACTCATCGGAGTTTATTTCAGCCCCACGTCCTCCCACACGGCCCAGAAGGACACGGCTGCTGCAGTGATGTACACCGTGGTCACGCCCATGCTGAACCCCTTCATCTACAGCCTGCGCAACAGCGACATGAAGGGCGCCTTAGGCACTCTCGTCAGCAGAAAGTCAGTCGTCATTCGGTGAACACAGGATTGGGAGGTCCGAGTGTTCGAATATAGTACTCGTCTGTCCTGAATTTCCCTGCACGGCCCCAGTCTCAAATACCATTTTACTTTCATTTTGTTTGTTATTACCTTATTCTCCCACAAACTGTTTATTGAGCATCTATTATATCTCAGGCACTCTTTTAAGGGTGGAGGATGCAGAAGGGAAAACCAAAATCCCTGACCTTGGGGACCTTACACCCAGAATGAAGAACACCCAAGGGCTAAAAGGAGGTGCTCCAGACACCAGAGACACCAAGATTCAAGTCCCACTCTGGATTAAGGTTCACGGTAAGCTGCTTTACAAAAAGACCCAAGATGCAAAGGCTCAAAAGTCATAAGCTTTTACAGACTGGACTCTGTTTCTTTAGCAACATAGTTTCTTCCAAAAATAAAAAAGAAAGAAAGAAACTTAGTAGACATCTGGTCTAGTTGCTTCTAGTTTGTTCAATTCCTTGGAATGACATCCAATTTTTTTTTTTTTTTGAGACAAGATCTCACTCTGTTGTCACCTGGGGCTAGAATGCAGTGGCGTCATCATATTAATAGCTCATTGTAACCTCCAACTCCTGGGCTCAAGCGATCCTCCCACCTCAGCCTCTCAAGTTGGGGGGCTACAGGCACGTACCAGCGCACTCGGCTAATTTTTCTATTTTTTGTGGAGACGGGGGTCTCACTCCTGCTCAGGCTGATGTCAAATTCATGGCCTCAACCAATCCTAACACCTCAGCCTCCCAAAGTGCTAGGATTACAGGCATGAACCATTGCACCCAGTCCATTAATTCCAACTAATACAGAAATTGGTTCCAGAAGTGGGGTGCTGCCATTATGAAAATGACAAATTGGTTCCATTAGCTTAGTGGCCTGGAATTGAAGACACAAATGTTGCAGGCTGGAAAGCTGGTGAACCCTTGCTATGTCTAAGAATAAAATTTGGTGAGACCATCGCATGTTATCACTGAAAAGGTAGACCATGTGTCTACTGAACCTGTGTTTCTAGAATGATTGGAAAGATCATGAATGTCACCAAAAGCTGGCCACTTCCTGCTGCTTCTTAAGCCAAGAATTACAAGAAATAGATGATCTTAGACAAGAGTTTGTCACCCTTCAGAGTCAGAAACATCACCAGATTGGAAAGACCAACAGCTTTCTGTCTCCCAAACAGTAGACGCGGGGTCTTCCTTCCTTCCTTCCCAAGGCTATTGTTTCGGATGGCTGCAAGGTGAGCCTCTATTAACTGAGAGTGACAAAGATACGGGTATTTTAAGGAAGCAACTGCTGAAAATTAAACAGACATAAGAACTCTGGGCAGAAAAGAACACTGGGGTAGACTCTTCCATCTCTGTTTGCAAATCGGCCAAATCCTTGCCCAGCAAGTCGGTATCTCTCTTGTAAGACTTTGCTAAAAGCAGCACAGAGCACCAACTCACAATAACATTCTGTCTCTTTCTAATCATTTCATCTACAGATGCAGACTCAATTACCCATTCGAACTATCTTTCTCTTTCTCTAAGGCTATTGTTTTACCTGCTGTTTTGCCTTAGCCTAAGGAGGATATACAACTCTCCAGCCTGAGATATCTGTGTCCTCACAACCCAGCCATTAAGCGAATGCCATTGAGCCTCAGGGCTGCACCCCACTTCTGGAACCAATCACTGTATTTCTTAGGACAAAAGTCTAAGCTCCAGTGCAAAGAAGAGAGAGGTCCAAAATGCAATATTTCAAACAAGGTAGAAGTTTATCTGTCTTTCCAGGTCCAGGGCAGCACGCAAGCCTTCTTCGTGCAATCATTTAGAGATTCGAGTTTTTTCCATTTTATTTCTTCTTCAATCGCTAAGACATTGCCTCATCTGCAAGCTGGCTCCTAAGTAAGTCCATACTCCAGCTTGCCAACAGGGAAAAAAGAGAGCAGAGAGGAGGTGGGTGTGCTGTCTCAGAGGCTTCATGCGAAGGTGCACACATAACTCACATTCATGTTCCATCTGTGAGAACTTAACCACCCACGTGGCCTCACTGCCAGGGAGGCTGGAAAGTATGATGTACCTGCAAGGTCACAATTCTGTCTGCTACAGAAGAGGGGGAGACTAGGATTGGGACAGAGCTAGCGTTCTCCAAAACGCTTCTGCTATTTTTTTCCTGTGTAGCCTTGGGCTTGTCGCCTCACCCCTCTGAACCCCAGTGTTCTCCTAAGTAAAATAAAGATAATAATACCTACAGCCCAGAAATGTTAAGAGGGTTAAATGAGATGATGTGGTGTATGCATACTGGCAAGCAAGAGGATTTAAGATGTTAAATCTATAAACACATTTTATTTAAATGTGTATTAGGAAAAAAACACAACTAGTACCTCGAGCCTGCATGTAAGCTAAATGACCTATTTGAGATTTCTTTTTAACAATAGATTTAAAGAAAAAAAAATATTGCCAGTAATCCCAGCTACTCAAGAGGCTGAGGTGGAAGGATTACATGAGGCCAGGAGTTCGAGACCAGCCTGAGCAACATAGCAAGACCTCGTCTCTAAAAAATGTTTTTAAAAATTGGCCAGACGTGGTGGCAAGCACCTATAGTCCCTGCTACTTGGGAGGGCAAGGTAGGAGAATCACTTGAGCCCAGGAATTTGAGGCTGCAGGTGCTACTGCACTCCAGCCTGGGCAGCAGAGCAAGACCCCATTTCTAAAAAATTAAATTAAATTAAATTAAAATTAAACTAAAGAAAAATATCAAGTAAATGATGGTACCTCTGGGACACAGATATAGCCTTAGAAGACACTCTTGGTCACCTCTTCCCATGTTTCTTCAGCCCACCCCATAGCTCACCTGCACAAAGTTCTCATACACATTAACAATTTCCAACATGGAATATTCTTGGCCTCACCCAAGAAACACCAAAAGCACCAAGGTATTAATGCCCGAGAGGTAACCGCCAACCAGTGAGCATCAAGAGCTGGTGGGCAACTGCCCTGGGCGTCCCAACCCTTCAGCGGGACGTCTCTGAGGCTTCTTCCACTCAGTCATTCAGATGATCCCACGTGGCGCCCAAGCTGCCCGCGTGCAAATGCATCTCCCCTTCCTGTCCCCTTTCTCCACCCTGTCACTGTGCTTCCTGGGACCACCTCCCAAAGATCCTCGTTTTGGGGTCTATAAACCCTGAAATAATGCATCTCAGACACTTGCTCCGTGCCTGGCACATAGTGAGCACGCAACAAATGCTGCTAGTTATCGCTGGTGTTACTTTTTTCCCATTGCGGTAAAACGCATGTGACATGAAGTTTACCATGAAGTGTACGGTTCGGGAGCATTAAGTACGTTCACGTCATGCAACCACCACCACTGTCCACGTCCAGAACTCTCTTCGTTTGCAAAACTGAAACTCTGTCCCCATTAAACACTTTCTCCCCATCTTCCCTCTCCCTCACCCCTGGCAACCACCATTCCACTCTCTGCTTCAATGAATTTAACTATTTTATTTACTTCATACAAGTGGAATTGCACAGTGCCTGTCCTTTTGTGACTGGCTTATTTCACTTAGCATAATGCCCTCCAGGTTTATCCGTGTTGTAGCACGTGTCAGAATGTCCTTCCTTTCTTTTTTTTTTCTGAGACAGAGTCTGGCTCTGTTGCCGTGGCTAGAGTGCTGTGGCGTCAGCCTAGCTCACAACAACCTCACACTCCTGGGCTCAAGCAATCCTCCTGCCTCAGCCTCCTGAGTAGCTGGGACTACAGGCATGCGCTACCATGCCCGGCTAATTTTTTCTATATATTTTTAGTTGTCCGATTAATTTCTTTCTATTTTTAGTAGAGACGGGGTCTCGCTCTTGCTCAGGCTGGTCTCGAACTCCTGAGCTCAAACAATCCGCCCGCCTCGGCCTCCCAAAGAGCTAGGATTACAGGCATGAGCCACCGCGCTCGGCCTGTCCCTCCTTTCTAAGGCTCAATAATATTCCGTGGTATCGATGGATATGTCACGTTTTGTTCCTTCATTCAACCATGAATGCATAATCGGGCTGCTTTCGCCTTTTGGTTATCATGAATAAGGCTTGCTATAAACACGAGTGCGCAAAGTTGTTTTTACTTTTTAATTATTCACTCATTCATTCAAAGTCCCAGGAATTCCAACATGCCAATGTCCAAACTGAGGAATAATTTAGGAATAATTTCCATACACAGTCAGCCCTCCGTATCCATCCTCGGATTCAACCAACCATGGATCCAAAATACTTGTAGAAATTAACAGCAGAGCAATAAAAAATAATACAAATTTTAAGATACAGGGTAAGAACTATTTACACAGCATTTACATTGCATTAGGTATTATAGGTAGTCTAGAAATGATTTAAAATATACACGAAGATGCGTGTAGGTTATATGCATTTACTACACGATTTTATATAAGAGGCGTGAACATTTGCAGGTTTTAATATCCCGGGGGGAATCCTGGAATCAAGCCCCTGAAGATATGTAGGGATGATTGTAATTTGGGAATAGAGAGGATTTCTCATGAAAGCAGATTCCCTAAGCGAAAGGAGACGGCTTTGGTGGATGTCCAAGATGTTGGGCTTCTGTTAAGGGAATGATTTGCGAAAAAGGAGGACGATTTAGCCCGCCCAGCAGTGCACATTTGGCAGTGTCAGGAAACATCTTCGGTTGTCATGACCAGCGATGGGGCGTGACATCTAGGGGGCCGAGGCCAGCTATGCTGCATCAACATCCTCCAATGCACGGGGGAGCCTCACACTGTAAATGATCCGGGCAGGGAAGAGTTAACACGTGCCGTCCTTTAAGGCTGACATGTCGACTTCGGCGCTATTAACTCCGTGAGGCCACACTCTGCACCTGGTCAGAAAGGTAGCAGCAGAGGTGGGCCAAATCCAGGATCCCAGGACAGACACCTTGGTGACAGCTGGCATCCCAGAGACAGCAAGCGGGGGACAAGAATGGTGAAGGGTCTGCAATCTTACTCTCCCTGCGAGCTGACATTTT